ACTAAAGAAATATTCTAGATTGCTTGGTCAGTTTTGCGGATCTATAAGAAATAATCTTTGTTATAATTATATAAAATTATGATTTTTCAATGATTTTTCTTTATTATTTTCTTTTATTCGTAATTGTTCAATCTTATAATAATTGTGATTTTAGTCATTAGCAGGCATATAATAATAAAGCATATAATAAGGCAATAGCCCTATAGATTTTTTTGTTGTATAAATTTGTTCGTTTCCAGGTATATCTAAGATAATTAATATGTCAAGACGAATTGACATAGTGTTCTACTTTTCAAGGATAAAGCCGAATACGCCTCACCCTCTTAATTATAAATCAGTCTAATCACGAATGGTGCGAAAAGATGAAAATATTGGAATAAAATATCGCACAAGATTTTTAACAAAAAAAATTCTCCGATTCTCTGAACTCATTCAATCCTCTGCTATTCTTTTTTAAAATTATAAGCTTAATGAGATTTTTTTCTTGGAAGTTTTGTTAAAAATCTTATATTACAGACCATAAAAATCGTAAAAGTCTATGAAGTTTATGTTTTGGTTTATGTTAGATTTACCGTAAAATCGATCATTTCTCTACTGCATTGCAACCATTCTATAGATTTTATACCTACTATTTAAATATTTCTTCTTGACGAGCACTAATTAAAGGAAGACAGCGATTTTATAGGCGGATCAATTAATTTTTGTTCTTATTCCAGATTATTTGGTTGTTTTATTTGGTTATTTTGAAATTTAATTTGATCCGTGAATGACAGCAAAGGAATTAAATATGAAGAAAGACCACTGAATCAAAAAAAATTCAATTGTGGAAGGAAATCTAAATAATGAGTGGATTTCTAACCATTTAGTTGCCTTTTACTTTTTAACGTTTTGCGTCGATGAGATCTGCGCTCTTTTAGTATGCAAGTATGCAAGTACTTTTAGTATGCAAATCTAAAGGCGCCAAAATGGGCAAGTAATAAAATTTAAAATAACTGTAAAAACAGCAGCAATTGAGAAGAGTACTTTTAAACCATTATAGTTGACTGCTTGGAGTGGTACCATGTGGCAATTCCTTCAATTAGTTTGTTTTTTCCATGTTTCTTTTGCAATAGAATCATTCAACATGATTTACTCTAGTCAATTAGTCTATAATATGAAATATTTGTAATGTGTTTAAAATGCCCATTGAAAAAAAAAGAATTTTTATATTGATTGAGCCCATTCCTGTATGACTTATGGTAATTCTTGTACAATTATTGAGGAGCCCATTCCTGTATGACTTATGGTAATTCTTGTACAATTTTTTGTTTTTTATATCAATCAAAGCAATAGTAAGTAAAGGTCGCAAAAGAAATTTTAATATAATTATGAAATGATAATCTGGAAAATAAATAAAAATGAAAGTAAATTATAAATAATAAACAAAGATGTCTTTGGAAAGAAGAAATTCTAGATAAAACAGCGATATTTTAGCATTTTATGTTTTAGAACATCTGGTAATAATTTCAAAGATATTCTCAGACCTCACTTTCCACATCTTTTCTTGTTGCCTTCCTTCCTTGCATCGTCATCATAAATTCCTCTCGTAAACCAGACGAATTATGAATTAACAGGGATTCGTATTTAAATTGTCGGGGGACAAAATTTCCTTTTTCTTATACAATATCTTTTGATTATCGTATTTTTATCTAATATGCTCTCTTTAATATTATTTTGGCAACTGTCTTAATCATTCTTAATTTGTTTATTTGTTTGTTTATTTAGTTGTACGAACAGCTGAAGAAGCATTTCAAATAATTCAGGTGTTCTGATTATTCCAGCTTATATTATCTCATCCCATTTGCTAATCAATTATTTATTTAGCAATTTGTTTCTAATCAGCTGGCTTATCGTCGATCATTTTTGTCGCTCCTATTTTCAAAAAATTGAGTATTTTTTATTAATTTCAGATTCCATTTTTGTCCGAAATTCTTTTTGGCTTTTTTGTTTTATTTTTATTTTCTTTAGTCAAAGACAATTAGCATTCTTCACGCAAATTTTTACTCTAGATTTCTATTTGTTTCATATAACTATGGGTAAAAGAAATGTGATAGCGACGAATTTAATTAATTTTTTATGAACTTATCAATTTATATTATCTTGGCATTTGATTGATTCTAATAGGTATATAAAAAGCCAAAAACGCATTTTCTACTATAATCCAAATAATTGAATTCTCCCTCTCAATAGCGACCTGTAAAAGGGATGACAGTAAGCAATCTTTTCACTAGAAAAATGCTGTGAATTCGCAAAGAATAACCGTTTTTTTAAAAAATTTTCGAAAGTTAAAAAGTCCGCGGACATAATCTTGTAATGAATAGAAATCTTGTAATAAATAGCAAAAGTAGGAAGTTGCTTAGGATGATTCTGCCAATTTCGCCAAAAATGAATCAAATTTTATTTACTCGGAATTTTTGATGGAATCTTATTCACAATACGTATATTGACGAGTAAAATAACTTTATTAAAATCAAAATTTTTCAATTTTTCAGTTGAATGACTTTGCAATTCTTAAAGAAAAGTTTTGCCTAGAAATATAAATTGAAAAAATGATGAAAATATTGTGATAAAATTAAAGAATATTTTAAAGAATAAAACGCTGTTGGTAAAATCTCCCTCTCATTTTCTTTAACTATTACTGGATTTTTATTTTTCGAAGCAGAAAAATTTGCTTCTATTACTGCTTTTATCCATCAAAAATTGTTTTTCAAAAAATTGGTGATTTATTGTTAAACTGACAAATATGTTGAAATTTGCAAAAAGCACATGCACAATTCTTTAAAACTCTAGAATTATTGACGAGAATTTGTTAGATGATCTTTAGAAATCTTAAGGAATCAAAAATATTTTAGATAAAAATATATAAAACTTGTATAAATAAATTGAAATTGAAATTGAATTGAAATTGAAATTTAAATAAGTTAAAAGTAAGTCGTCCTAGATAAAACTTATATAAATAATAGGTAAATAAAACTCATCTATTTCTTTCAAAGAGATTTTTGAAAAATTCAATTTTTGATTGTTATATGGACAATATAATATGTGAGTCAAAAAATATTCTTAAAGTATGCTTTTGCAATTCTTAAAGAAAAGTTATGCCTAGAAATACAAATAAAAAAAAAAATGATGAAAATATTAAGAAAAATTAAGAGGTGTTGTATTACAAAAGGCTGTAGGTAAAATGCCCTCTAGTTTCTTTAATCACAGCTGTTTATCATAATTTTTATCTTGGTGGATTGGTAGCACGATTATAATAAGTTATACTTTTTTTATTGGTGTGAAAATTCTTTTTAAAAAATATACAAATAAGTTCCCAATATGCAAAGGTTTTTGTTCATACTTCCATTTGCATCTTTCTCCAACAGCACTCATCATTTCTGGTTATGCTCGCTTTGCTGACTATTAGAATGATATAATTTTGCCAGAAGATCATTTGGAAATATAAGTTTCACTCCCTTCAAGAGGAATCGTCTTTAAACTAGTAAAATCTAATTACTAGATCTAGATTAAGCTATATTAGAGAATTTTTTCAACTATTTTTTCTATTTTTTTCTATTTTTTTTGAAACTTAAGAAAACAGTTTTTGATAATGTTGATTTTGAATAAGCCAAAATTGAATTTTGATATTTATAATGAACTGTTCAAAATTATTATATGCTCAAAAAACATTTAATTTTTTAAAGAACAGTAAAATTTAGAATAAACAATGCTGTATTGTAAATGGTGATATAGGGCTGGTTGCCATATTTGTCAACAAGAGTTGAGGAAGAAGAAACAGAATGTACGACGTATGCTGAATTATGGAGCTGGATGAGCCCCTACTGTGCTTTTAATTTGTACAGCTGTCGCCTCACTAGAAAAACCATCATAGATTTATTTCTAAACTTTCAGCGTAATTCCATAATATTAAATAGCGATTTCTTATGAAACGAACTCACCCCTAATAGTATTCATTTGCTTCCAATAAACCTACATTTTTTTCATCGCATTATCAAAATGCCTCTATTTTTATTTGGACTAGTTGCATTAATACAAATTAATACTGACTATTACTGATTATTCATAAGTAATATTCATAAATATTATGCTATTTGTAAACAAATTAATCGAATATTTCTACTATTTCTGTAGGTTTTTTTAAAGATTAATGCAATATTTTTACCTAATATTTCAGTTCAGTTTGATGAGATATTTGAAATATTTATTAAATGACTCGACTGCTTGATAATGCAATGCCTTGTCAGCCACTTTCATAGTGAGATTTGCTATTAGAATTATTTTAAAATTACTCTATAATAACTATTAGAATTACTTTATGATTTCAATTGATTTCTGATTAAACGTCTTGGTTGCATGTCTTCTTTCCTATTAGATGAGCTGAATACATGAGATCTTTCAGCTACTTGCATTATAGAAGTGGAGCGCAGATCGCCAGCATTTCGATATTTTTACTCCTTTCATCATTCTTATATTCTTACCATGAGTGATGTCCAAGATGCTTTATTTGCCATTATACCTAATAATACACATCCTTCAGATATTTTGCCTTTTCAGTGTCACAATCATCAAGTAATTGCAGTAAAATGAAAATGCCTCTATTTTTATTTGGACTAGTTGCATTAATACAAATTGTATCTCCAGTCTCTCTGGGTCTTTCATCTGGACTCGATGGTTTTTTCGCAGTGGAGGCAGAGACTGAGTTACTCGAAGTTATAGCCTAGCAACAGCCACTCTATTCTGCACTTCTTCATTCCCACATTTCTAAGTTTCATTATTTTAATTTTAATTATACTTTAAGCAAATATGCATCAGTGGTTTTAATTAGACATAATTTACGCAGTAATAATTTTCTCCAAATAAGAATTTTATCGTACTAAACGAATTTTTTTTATTTTTCAATCATTACCTTTTAAATGATATGATACAAGAAAGAAGAAGAAGAAAAGGAATGAAAATGAAAATTACGGTGGTCGAGAGCAAAGTGCTACGGTAATGAGTACTTTCACGAGCATTCGTGAAGCGCATTGATTCGTTGTTATTTTTATATTTTTGCTCAAACTAATATTATTATCTCGAATATTTCCAATTATATATCCTTGATGATCATTCGTAAGCAATCCATAGAAATCAAGGAAAAGCTTTGGTAATAGCACTTTTAAAATATCGAAATTCGCTTTATATTTCATGGATATCGAATCTGATCTCATTTGTTTATTTTGAGCAAAAATATATTTTGTTGAATGTAAGTGATTATATTTGCCAGGTCATAGAATGGTTCAGTGGGTTTTCGCTCAATTGGGAACGCCGATCCGACGATGAGGTTCGATTTCTTGCTGGATTGAACCTGTGCAAAAATCCGGGTGATGCTGGCGATTCACCTGTATTTCTATCGCCAAGCGACTCCCTAGCATATTGCCCAATTGCGAAAAGCCAGTGGAGCGAGTTTAATCAGTAATGGTGAGGACTCTTTAAAAAAAAAGTGGTTTAGAATTTTTTGCCAGGCAATCATTTGACAATAGATAGATATGCAAGCGGATCGCAACACCGCATGCATTTTTCAAATAATAAGTATATTATAAAGGCCGAGTTTTTGCCTTTCAGCACCAAAATCTGAACACTTGCCTACCCTGCTTTCATTTTATGGAACATGAATGAATTTCAATTTCTCATTTTTATTTATTTCTTTCTTGGAACCAACTTTTTATTCTTTTCATTTTTCCTTAAGATCCTTAAATTTTCCTTAAAATCTGGATGATCCCGACATATCTATCGACAATTATTTCCACTTATTCTGTATACCTTTTGTTCACAATCGTGATCGCACCACTTATAGTTGACCTTCGCAAGCTAATATTATTCGATCAATATCATGCTAACAATGATTGTTTTTGAAATTTGTGGAATATGATATATTTTATTTCAGATCAAAAACGTGCATTAAGGATCTTATTGCGACCCTAAGAATTCTAGTATTATCTAGATAGAGGTAGAATATCGTATATTAACGATCTGCAATATAACTACAAATAAATCCATCAACTATGGCTTCATTTTGGCTAAAAATAGAGAAGGCTTCCGTATTTTAGGGATTTACCATAACTGTTGAAATTTGTCGCATATTCTAGCAAACGAAGAAAGTAACTATAATATTGAGGATAGCAATTTTTTATTCATCAACTTGACATATTTGTCAATTTGAAATTTCCATAAATCTTTGGATGATGAAATTTTCATAGTAAAAATCTTTAAGATTTGGTAAAACTTTTTTAAAAAATTTTAATATTGAAAAAAATTTTAATACTTTTTTGCTTCAAGTAATCGATGATTTCCAACTTCAATATTATTCGGCAAAATAGGATGCCGAATATTAATTTAATGATAATTTCAATGAGGACCATCGTATCTTTTGACTTTAATTGCTGGACTCTAAGTATAAATTGTCGGTGCATATTGCTCAATCTTTCTTTCAATCCAGTGAATCAAGGGCATTTTAAGTGATTTTATTGTTGCTTGTACTGGTGAAGATTGTTATCAAAATCCTTTTACTTCCTTTTAACGGTATCTTAAAAATTATGATTCAGCAAGTGTGCATGCCAATATGCTTGAATATCGTTTTTTAGAATGGATTAAATCGCGGAATTACATATTACATATTTATCACCAAATGACTCTCAGGTAAAAATGATAATTATTGTTTATAATAAGACTGTCGGAACCAGTCAAATGAAAAATAATAAATGCTATTAGAAGCGGTAGAAATTCGTCGTCAATACACCCACCACTAGTCAGACTTTAAGAGCGGGTTTATTCCCGTCAAAGGATGAAGTATGAACCAAACCCATCATTTCAGCCGAAATTTTTTTCAGTCAAACATTCTGCTTAGTCCAAATGAAGAACTGTAATTTTTCTTTCTTGGACGAATTATTTTGAAATATTTTATGATCACTATTATGTGCGAAAAAATTTTTCATTTTTATGTTTCTCGCGAAATTATAAAATTTTTGCAACAGCTGCCCAACGATCACCTTCAAAATGGTCGTTTCTGCCCATGGCTTTTTGTTTGCTGATGTTATAATATCCCATTTACCATCCTTTCTAAAAGATTTACCAAATAATTCCATTTCAAATTTTCGCCATTTTTTATTATGATCCATCTATTCAGCGATTTCAGTATTAAACTTTTTTCTTTTCGGTTACCAAAATGCCTTCTGCAAATTGTGGAACACAGACCCATTTGCAAAATGCTTAAGGAATAGAATTATACCTAATATATTCATAATTTAATTAAAAAGTGCTTCCCATAACCTAAATTTTCATTTAAAAATTTTCATTTCGCTTGCTTAAAAAATTTTTATTAAACAATCAAAATTTATTATGGAGATTATATTTGTATCCCTCGTTACAGTTCTTTTTTCCATTTTTTTATAGAGTTTTTTCATTCAAACCAACTTCAAATGATGCTGCAGTCCCACTCCACTTCTTTCCTCAAATAATTCTGTGGCGAAGATCTTATTCCTAATAGTCAATAAATTCAGACCAGAAACGGTAAATACTAGTGGAAAAGGACACTTAAACTGATTTAATTTAATATCATTTTTCTAAGTTTTAACCGGGCTAATATTATTTTAAAATCTTTATCTTAGCATATTAAAATCAGATTTCATTGTTGTTCCCCTGTTTTGTAACTTATTTCTTTCAAAATGCAGTAGCATAAATCTAAGAAATGTTATAGTCATTTGGACAGAACAAAACTATCATCAAAAGTGATATCCAGATGTTGCTAGAAATTTACCTGCATTTCCATCTTTTGCGAATCTATTGCTAAAGCAAGATTTTTCCTAACAATTGACTCCATTTAAGCTATTCCAATTTTATTTTTTTCGGCGTTAAGTCCCTGTCCATGATCGATTTCATTGTTGTTGGATCGCCGTACAAGTCTTTACGTCCTTGAAATTCGGGCAAGGATTGCGAAAGATTTAGTGGAAAAAAATCCGTGTGGAAAAAAAACGGTCTGCATTATTTTTGATGAATGAAAATTTATCGATGAAAGCCATTCTGACCTCTTGCATGGTCAATGAGCCAATTCACTGCCATTATTTTTTCTGACCATCAGTTAATTGCTATGCTATGCATTGTTCGTTTAATTTCATGCCATTTCTTCATTTTTTTTTTCTTCCAAGAAGTTAGAAAAAATTTCTTCATAGAAAAGTTGATTCTAAGGTAAGAAACACCTATCATCGGAATATGAAAATTAGATGGTAGAGGACCCAGCTACTTTTAAATTTCCAAGCGATTTCCTGAAGGATTTCCATCCTAATGACCGTTTGAATAATGAAACCCAAGAAATTGCACCTTCTCCTAATAATAGATGCCTATAGATGCCTGTATACTTAATAATACTATGTATTTAATTTTCCATTTTTCTATCGACAGTAATGTAATCATGTTTTTAAAATTGTAAAAAAATTCCCATTAAATTTCTTTTTGGATTAATGCTATGGATCCAATTGCATTTATGACTCTGTGGTGGAGAAACTTTAAATTTCATACTAACAGATATTGGAGCTAGAAATTGAATTGGTTATAAGAATTTATTGCATTATATTAATCATTCGAATTTATAGATGCACTAGTTTTTTCATTAGATCGGCTCTGGTAAATTTCTTCGCAAGTAATTATGTTGGCCTAAGCTTCGGAAAATTTAGTTCAGTAGCTAATTAGTTGAGCAGTGTTGGTGCATGGTGTTTAAGAGTTATTTTTGGTTTATTTGATTTTATCGTTGAATATTTGTTTATATATATATATATTTATTGTATGAGTATTTAGATAAACCAGAATTCGCCTCATCTATTTATTGTAAAATGGTTAGTTTAGAGCTCATCCCTTAGCTACAAGAAAAAATTTATTATCGAAGAAGTATGTAGGAAAAGTTATTTGAAAAAATTTTCGAAAAGCCGATAGTCAAAATAAGGGACTAAGAAATTTCTGTTTTTGTTTAAACTTGTCGGATTAAAGCCGAAAAAGAAGATTGATAGAACTCATTGATAGAACTGAATTTAATTACAGAGTTTCTATATGGTCTTAGGTGAAAGCAACGATTTAGTACTGAACATTGATTCATAAATGTTACGCGCATCGCAAGTATTACATTTATGCATAAATCTATCCAGAATTCATGATTATAACTGATGTTTTTTATACCATTGTATTAAAGAGTTATGCAGATGTTCAGATATCAGCTGGTAAAATTTTCTTGCCCTAGAAAAATAGTTGGAATGATATAGGACTGGTTCTATGAAATAACTAAAATGATTAACAAAAAATGACCTAGACAGGATTGACAAAACTTTTCGCTAATGATGTAGCTTGAAATTATTTTTCAAAGCAGGTATCTTACCATCTTCATCTTTTATAAAATAACCGGATTAGGTTAATCGGTTTAGACAAATTCTATAAATTCTGCTTTAACTGTTTACCAAGACCTTTTATTGCAAGTTAGTTTCTCTAAATACGCATCAAAAAAAACAATTTCTCTCTACCTAACGGCAAAATCCCTTCGTATCGCTCGCAACCATCGCAAATTTTGGAAATTAGCCATATTATTGCTTAGTATTATTGTTTATTAATGCTAAATTAATGACGAATTAAGGATAGAAATACACGAGTAATGTTCGGTGAGCTTATAGAGTGATAACCAGAGAATGAAATTCTTTGAAATACCTCAATGATTTACAAAACAATTCAAAAATTCTGGAAAAGATTTATAACCAATAAATTTGGCAAATACAAGTGGATAATTTAGTGAATTTATCGACGAAAAAATGATTAATAATGATATAAATTAATGTTTGATTAATTTTTGAGGGACATTTAGAACAATGGAAATGGAAAGAAAGGTCATTCACGAGACAATTCAGTGTAAACGTCTTCATTATTATCCATACAGTGTCTATCGATTTTTCCATTGGTCACTAGGGGTCAAGTTCACACTATTTTCAGCATTTTTCTCTCTGCCAGTTAGGTCAACTATTGTGACGCGTATAAAAAGATAGCGTTGTTCACTTTCGCGAAATTTTGCCATTGCAAAACTATGTGTCATCTTAACTCGTTGCTTAAAGGTTTTTTCATCAGTCGTTTTGCTTAATTTGCACTAAAATTCTCAGAGAATATTCTAAAATCCGATTAATATGGCTTCTTCTTCAGTAAC